TCGCACCCCTTCAGTGGGATCGCGGGGCAGATCCTGGCTTCAGAGTCCACTGATGACTCGGGCGGGGCCTGCGCGCGAGGGCCTTGGCGGCGGGCAGCGTCTGCGCAGTTAGAGCACAGATGCCACCGCGCTCCCGTGGTTACCGAAGAAGATGCGTGAGAGCACGTGAGTGTGCGATGAAGACCAGGTCGGAGAGAGAGAAGCTGACTCTTCTCCGTGCCTCCTGAGGCCTGGTCTGCGCCCACACGACCAAGGAGGGGCCCTGCCTCCATCTAGTGAACTTGCAGCCGTGGCCCCGGCCAGAGGGGCTCATTGCGCAGCGTGTTCCTGCTGGAGCGATGCCAGTAGCTCAGGAGTGGGACCCAACTCCTCCAGCAGCAGCCTTCAGCCTCGTCTCCGTCACCCTTTCTTTGAGATGCCACGTGTTCATGTCTCTTTTTCCTCTGTTAGGTCCCGCCCTGTTTGAAACATACAGTCGATACAGGAGGCATGCCAGCCTGTATCACCCACGTTCTACACACTCACAGGGACAGCAGACCACCGGAAGGCCGCGCCCAGAGAGCAGCTGTCCCACAGCGAGTGGGCACAGCGCTCTTTTGTCATCGTGGTAATGACATCACTGCCACCGTCACACTCCTGAGCGTGGCCGTGCCACTGTTGAGTTCTGCTGCATAAACCGAGAAAAACACTGCAGTTCACTCTCTGAGGAAATTCATTGCTTGACTCAACCACTGTTTTGGTGGTTGGTGAATGGGCGAGCGGGGTACCTGGAGACGGGCAAGTGGCCGAGTCTCCTTTGGCTCTGAAGAGGGGCCAGAGGCCCGGTCTCTCTCTTCTCTTCGCTGTTATTCCATATTCCACTAAGTACTAAATCTGCATTTTGGAGAAGAGCCGTGAAGACCTTAACCGATGTGTGAGTGGGCCGCCCTGCTCCCCGACGCAGGCCAGGCACCCGGCGGGGGCGCTTTGCTTGACGTGCTCCGTGAGCTGTGGTTTGGTTTAGACACTGAAGCAAACTAGCCTACAGAACAGGGTGCTGTAAATAGAGCCTTCATGACCCTCGTGGGACGGTCCTTCTACGTGTGAATTAAGATACTCCGTGATTCAGGCCCGTAAACCGAAAAGTAGCCATCGCCCTGAGCAGTAATTTGCTTTCTGAAACCTTAGACTATAAATTGCGTTTGGCCTCGGCTCACTGAATTCGGAGTTTGTGTGCACGCTGGTAACTAATGAGGTTTGCCGAAAGAGTTTTTAAAAGGAGTTCAAACTCTCTTAGGCCATAAGGGTCTTCTGAAATATGCCAGTCTTTGCTTAGGGGCTGTTTTGTTTTTCTTTCCTGGTTAAAGAGCCACCGTATTTCACCGCTGAGCCTGCGAGCCGGATGTCGGCGGATGTGGGAGAGTCCGTGGACCTGGTGTGCGGAGCCGCGGGTGAGTGCGGGTCGGCTGCGGGAGGCCTGGCGGGGCCGCCCTCTGTGTGGGGGCACGCTGGCCGCGATGCTTAGAGACGGGCCTGTGGCTCGGTCACTGAGCATGTGACCTTGGGAAGGCACCTGGCCTCGCTTAGCTCGTGTTCCTCACCTGCAAAGCAGGGACAACAGCATTTACCCCCGGGAACAGCAAGGAAGTCTTAACCCCGCCGTCCCGGCAGAGGGACGGCGTCTTGTCCCCTCAACTCCCTTCAAGGGCTCGATCCTGCAGGATCGTGACCCCCCAGGACCTGGGGCAGGAAGCCCATTCTCACCACGGGGTGACTGGGAACAGCGAGCACTCCGCTCTGCGAGAAGAGAGGTTGTTTTCAGTCCTTTGGACAGGAGCTCTTCCCGTTTCTCTGCCTTTTCCGCTTTGGTGGGCGTTTCCACACTTACTCAGGGAATTCTGCTGCTTGTCCGCATGCCTGCCTCGATCCCTGCAGCGCGCTGACCCCGACTCGTGTCCCACACACCGGCCCTCGTGCCCAACGCCCCAAGCTCCATTAGCATCAGTGCTCTGGAGTTTGTCAGGAAATGAAAGCACCTTTTGCTGTTACACTGGTCTGTCTGCAGGGTGGGTGTCTGCTTCTAAGAGCTTGGGGGGTAAGGATGACTAACAACTCGGTGACTCTTCAGAACGGCTCCGTCAGAGAGGTGACTGCCTCACTGCACACAGGAGCACAGACCCTTAGACAGCAGAGCTAAGTGACGTGCTCAGGGCGCAGAGCCAGGAAGTGGAGACACGTGTGAAGTCGGCACCCAGGGCCTGGGGTCAGGAGTTGCTCCCTGACCACCGGATGGGCAGCCTCCCAGGGCCACGTGGTGCTGGAGGCCGGATCCGAACCCACATCCTCCAGCTACCAGAGTGGGTGCTGAGGCTGCGACCGCTGGCTTCTCCCTGAGAGCCAAGGCTCCGGGACCTGGAACGAACCGATGATCGGCGGGTCCATCCACATCACTTTTCATTTCTGGAAAGAGGTGGTGGTGCCGCTCGGAACAGTGGCCCTGAGACCCTCCCTGTCTGTCCTCCTCCTGCAATGGCCACTCCTGCCAGACGTGTTTCCTTCGTGCTCCTGGTCCCCAGCCCCTGGCCCCTCGCACGGCCGCTGTTACCCATCTGCTCCAGCAGGACCTCCCGGGGGAGGTGCAGGAG